CCAAGACTCATTTTCATGTTTCCATTGGCTAATGAAGGCAGAACAGACCGTTAATAAGTCGGGATCTTGGGGATAAATGGACACGACAGGTCCATGAAATGAATCTCAAAGGGAACAGGAGTTTCAACAGCTGAGAAGATGTTTTATGATCTGCCAAAATCCTGAACTGACTCTTGGGTAAAACAGATTTTTTCCTGCTTCCTCCACCGGGGAGCTCCACCCATTCTACCACTCCTACCTGTGCTAGGCTCCGCCACTTTTTTTTTTACTTGTACTGAAGGCTATTGCCTGATAGCTGTCATGTGTAAACCTAAAACTAAACACAGCTGTTTGATTAGCACAGCGCTAAACAAACGCTACATCACTTAAACACTTAGTGGTGCACTAGAAGCGGGTTGTCATCTGTAACCAAAGGCGAGAGAAAGCAAGTGAGGTCTTACACGTCGTTTTAGTTTAGATATTAACAAAAAAATGACGTTACAAAACACAGAGGTTGACGATCTGTAACGTCAACTAACGATGACGTTACAAACCATCTTCAACCAATAACAAAACACAGAGGTTCATTCTTGGCTATCGGCTTTCTTCTTTTCTTTGGGTCGACTTTGGCTCAGACATATACAGTTAGACCACCGTTTGTTAATTGTCCTGCCAGTTTACCATACCTGCCAGAATAGCATACACCACCTTGCTGAACATACACATAAGAACAACACTCAGTTGCGTTCGCACGTCGGTCTGCTAATTTAGCGGCAGGTTTCCCCCAGGTCGACAGGACACTCAGGGGCTCGTCACTGTTTAAAGGTAAAGGCACAGGAAGTTGGAACTAGAAATATTAAAAAAAAAAAAAAAGTATCTCTCACAGTTCATACAAAAACACCAGTTTTATCCAACTATATCCAGTCTTATCCCCTACCGTCGTAAATAAATGACTTCCTACCGATGATCCCTTTGGTCATTCGCCTTTGCATGAAATATCAGCACAATTAAAAGTGGCCACCAATTAATTTAATCAGCTTTACTGGGTCATTATGTGAGGGGACATCTAATGTGAGTAAATGTGACTGTGCTGGTGTGACAAGTAAAAAAAAAAAAAAAAAAAAGAAAAGGCCAGGGCTGCGGCGGAACCCGGGAAACTTTCGGCCCTCCCCCCAANNCCAGATAACAGTCACGTTAAATAAACAATGAGTGTGAGCGTGTGAACAGGAAGAGATTGATTTGCAGTTAACGGCAAAGTAATTAATCTTACACCACAAGTGAGGGTACGGAGGAAAAAAAACGCAATAAAAAAGACAGGGAAAAAATGACAATGAGCTCCATTGTGAGAGCAGCAGTGTTTCATGTCATTGTCAAACGTGGTGCACTGTAAAGTATTGAAATCTTTGTCTTGTCCTGACAAACCCAGGCTGCTTTAAAATTCAATTTTCTTAAAAGCAAACGACAGACTAAAAATTGGATAATTAGTTTGTTTTTTGGCTTTTTTTAAAAAAATTTTATTCTTGAAGCCATCAACCATCTTGTTACTCAGTGATGTCACTCAATTCGATCATTATATAATGGCTGACTTGCATTTTTAGCATAATTAGATACAAGCTTTGTTTTGTTGTTGTTTTTGCAACTTGGACACTGGATTTCTTTAGAAAGGAAAAAAATGAAATTATTCACATATGTGATGAAGCAAAAAACACATATTTTTATTCCTGATGCTGTGGCCATGAATGCAACACTTTACAAAGATGCTGGCTTTTCCATAGGGATTTCTACTGACTTCTTTAATCACTATTTCCGTTATTTATTCCCTCTCTGCTCCACGTGAATCAAAGTTCCTGACAGAAACTAGTGGTTGAAAAAGTGGACTTGTGTACATACACAATGTCACTTTTCACACTTATGCGACATCTATTCTCGTCTGAGACGTGGTAAGTGATAAAATCTGAGTGCATGCGATGGTGAATGACAACTCCTAATGCAGCAGATACACACACAGACACATCCTTTTAACCAAGCCTCCCTCTGCTCAACACACTTATTCATCCACCCACACACTCATGTGGATATTATCAGTGTTGCTCAGCTGAGGCTCCAGGCTCGTCAGATCCCCATGGCGTCGCACTGACCAGGGGAGGAAGAGCTTATCTCGGCCCCAGGCCCCTCCCTCGGCACCGTGCCTTGGCTGTTTGGGCTGGGAGGCAGATGCCATGCGGGCCCCCAGTGTGGCCCGTTTCAGTGGCCAAGGCGTGCAGCGTTCCGGCTTGAGGGACGTGCTTTTGAAACAGACAGTCCATCTCGCCTTTGTGCTTGCGTGGAAATGCCTATTTGTGCCGTCCGCATGGCAGATGGAGGTAGAGTTTTTTGGTATGACCGGTTCCCTGAGGACCACCTGGGCCTGATCAGAGCAGTTGGTACTCACCAGTTCTCTCTTACACACACTCTCTCAGATTTAACTGGCTGTAATCCACGGATGGTAATAAATGGGACTGAATAATAACCTGGGGTGGAGCGCTATTCCAGGAGAACCTTCTCCCTTTAAATTCACCTGATCACGGCTCACAGACCATAAATTAGACCAGTGACTATGAAGATAAATCAGAAGAGGGTACTTTTAAAATTACCCTGCAGTCAGAAATTATTTTACTAAAATACCTTTTTTTGCCCCCTTCAGAATGACTAACAGAATCAAACTCTCCTTCACACTAACAATGTTTCCTCACAGTCGGTCGGCTTCATCGTCGACATCCACATCAAAATATTTCCTTATTGACGGTGAGATGGTTTTTGAAGTAAAAGCAGGAACAGGTGTCTTTGGAGTGGCTGACTAAACCCCCCCTCCAATCCCCCGTCTCCCCGCATCAAATCTTGAAGAGGGGCAGATATCAGCATCCAAAAGCTCCTTTTGTCTCCTTGAAATTATGCTGCGTGTTCACAAAACACTACACTACAACACACTAAATATAGGCCTGGGAAGTGCCACAGATTAGCTCCCACACTGATGGTTCCATAAGACGATAATGCCCAGATGTCTTCCGCCTTTGACTGGCGAGGATTTGAACCCTATATCTCAAATTCTGCCTGGGGAGCACGTAAATATCTGCAAGCAAGTATCTCTGAGTGTGTGTGTGTGTGTGTGTGTCCATCTAAACCAGGGGCAAAAGGCTTTTCGGTGTTATGAACGAGTGGATTGGATTTGCTGGCCTATACACCATAAGCTAAAATACTGTGGTAAAATAAAAATACACCACTGGGCTTTTTTTTTTTATAGACAGAGAGCACATTTCTCAGTTCTTTAAAGGTATTAAGAAAAACCTGACATTTGCTTTATTGCCGCAGTCGTACACGACTACCCCCCAGAACACATACAATGGTTTGACTTGGAGTCCTATTTCAGTCGAGGCGCTTTAATATTTAGCTTTTCCCTTTGATGTTTAATCACTTATGCGCATGTCTCGCACTCACACAGAGACAATGCATTTGCTGAGACGCAGTGACTGCGGCGTATGACCCATTTTTAAGACGCAGGGTTTTGCTTTCATAACTATAGTGTGTGAGGGAACCGGCACCTACATGACTGCCAGTAACGTCGACCAGAAGGATTCACAACGACGGGCTTTTAAAGCCGAAAGGGGAAGTGTGAAATCTTTTTTTTGTTGTTCGAAAGGGCAGCAAGGAAAAGGGAAGCAAAATTTGTGTTGAAAAAAAATCTAAATTTTGTAATACTACATATATATATAAATATATATATATATATATCACGTGCCCATACTTACTACGCGTAGGGACCCAGCCCCGGTACACCGAACAAACAAACACACATTGTTTCACTTCGCATGGGGAGCGAGATGAAAATGTTTTGTGTCGCCTTATTTCTGCCGCCTCGCGTTAAAGCATGAGATGAATGGACAAATGGAAGTGTTGCACCACCTCAGAGCTACGACGAAGCCAGTGCCTGCCATAAAGGGAAGTTAAGGAGGATGAAGTAGGAGTGGGGGTGTCACAAAAAATCAGACAGTGCCTGCCCGGCCCTCATGACGCATCATGGCAGCAGTCAAGTGGATGTGAAAACAAGAAGAAGAAGAAAAAAAAAAAGCTTTGCGGAATATTGTTCAAAGCAGCAGCCTGAGCAGGGGGAAGATGTGCGCTCCAGATTACATGCGCTCTATTTCCCAACCATACAGAACGTTGGGTTCCTTTTGCCTCCACTCCACTCCACTCCACTCCAGAGACCCAGAGAGAGGGAGGGTGAAATTCAACTAAGGAAGAAAAATTTGTGTGGATGAAATAAATGGTTGAACAACGTGGGATGAAGAGCACAGATGTGTAAAACTTCATCATGCTTTTTGTTTCTGGAAGTGTAAAACACACGTAACCCGGGGGTTGATACAGCAGACCTTGGTCTTCTTACTGACTCGTAAATAATGTATTAGCATCAGGACTTATTAGGATCAAAAATGATCACAGGGCTTTCGTTGGTTGTTCTCAGAGGGAAGCAGATAATGCACAAGGGAAACAAGAAAAAAAAAGAAGAGTATTTTTGGAAAGTGAATAACCTTGGTGGATAACCTTTAACATCTTGTTTAAACTATTTCACGTACCATCAGGGGCAACTCAATATTCTTTGTAGCATTATTCCTCAATGTGTTACTTTCTATTCTCTGTGCACAGAAACAAAGATATTTCTCCAAACTCCAACAGCTCATATTCTTCCTCTTTTAATTTTCAAATTTTTCTAATGGTTGTTTTTCAGTAAATGTGTCACTGACTAAATGACACATTTACTGACACGATGACAAACATTTATATCTGTACACATGTATCTTCCACCTGCTTTGTAAACATCAACAACTTCATGTTTGTTTTGACTTACATCTTACATTGTGAGCGTATCGGATAAACTTTTAGTTGTACCTGAACGTCATTACTTTGAACACAACTCAGTTGCTGCACAGTGGTTAATAAAAATTGACCTTGGTGTTTTGAGTTTTGTGCAATAGTTTTGTAAAATGTAAATAGTAAAATTGTGCAAAAATAAAAATAAAAATGTAAGACTCCTATACAAATCTTGTTCTCTTCTCTGCTCTGCACGAACGCAGTTAAGATGAGCTGTTATTTAATCACGATCTTTGTCAACAGAGTTAATATTTTCGTAAATAATTTGCAGTTCATATTCCATCCTCATCAATCCAATCCCTGATCCTCGGTTTGTTCCACTGCACGACACTCACCCCCGCCAACAGCCCCCTCTGGATGCTGAAAACCATGAACAGTTGAGGCTCACACTCACATTCTTGCGCACAGCAAAAAAGTGAGGAGGCGCCTCCGCTCCCACCCTGAGCCAATGGCGCACGGAGCAGCCTGATCACACTTATCCCCTCCTGACCAATGGCGCGTCTCTGCCGCACTCACATGACGTCTTCCTGAGCGCTCCCCCTGCACTCAGCGCACAATCCCGGCGAACACAGGCATCACTGAAGACCTGACACCGGCGGAATCGGACGCCCACTGTCCCTCTGCAACAAACGAGCACTTTTTCCTCCCTCTCCCGTGAGAAACTCCGTCGCCCCTCAGACGCAGCTGACCATCGCGGCACCGACAATGACGCAGCTTCGGCGGAGCAGCAGACTTTCCACAACCCGGTTTCCGAGCGAGCGGAGAGGCGCAGGGGCGAGACAATGACGGCCAGAAGTTATTGAAATAAATCGTAAGTGGGCGTTATTATATTTCTTTAGAGTCACTTCTTTTTATTTGGACAGTTGCTACCAAAACGGGAAGTTAGCCGTTAGTCTAGATGTGACCCTCTCTTTGTAGTCCACGTCAGGTTTAAAGGCAGATAACGCGCCTCTGCAGCGCCGTACAATTTGTGCCATTTTTTTTTACTACTTTTAAAGTGATTGTTTAGAGTTTTAAAATGTGTAATGTGACTTTGCTGCATCTGTGAACACTTGTTTATTGTTCCGTGGTTATCGATCTGTGAGTTCACCCGGTGCACCCGGACATTCTTTGTGCGTCTCTGTGAATTTTCTCATTGTGCACGAGCGCCTGTGTCTGCGCTGCGCCTGAGCATGAAATATAGATAAAAAGCACACGGTAAACCCGCTGACCCCGGGCAGGGAGGCAGTGCAACCGGCTGAAAGAGGACAATTGGGAGGAGGGGGGTGAGCGCACCAAGACAGGGCTGCACTTCTCTTCAACCAGTCAGACAGGATGAGGGTGGATCTTCAAAAAAGAAAAAAGAAAAAAAAAAGAGAGAGAGAGAAAAAAAAACAAGTGTCATTCCCAAGGTAGGATATGACCAAAAAAGTCCCTTAACTTTGAACTAGGGTCAACTCAAGAATGGGGGGAAAAAGAAGAAGCAAAAACTAAACTCTTATTTACTTTTGCTTTTATTTAGAAATGAGAAACTATTTCATGTCAAATTGACAGGAACTCTTTGAAGTTACTGTTTTTTTTATAAAATAATTAAAGTTGTGGTTATGTGAACATTCAGGAGTTAAAGGGGGGGGGCAGTGGGGGTGAGGGTGCCCTCTGGTTTTCCATGATTTCGGTTCAATCACAGGGACAGGGAGTCGGGGAACTGGGGCCATTTGATGTCTTGAAAGGCTTCAGATGGCTTTAATTAGGACCTATAAAATCTGTCTACCCCATTCTCTGAGGCGGCACTCTGAAGGATCAGGAAGGGAGGGGAACTGATGAGAGAAGGGAAAAAAAAAGAAAAAGAAAAACACAAAGACAGACACGACAGACACAGAAAGTCACTTTAGTGAGGGATCGTCAAATCAAATTTTTATAAAGCTGCGTTTTCCTTCCCTCGCACCCTTCGTCCCCTGATGCCGGCGGTTGTGTTTAGGCAGCACTGTTATTCCCCTCTTTGTCTGACTGCTGTGTTATCTATACCTCCCCTCGCCGTCTCTCCCTCCCAATCCTCCCAAACTCAACCTCACTACCACCAAGAGTCTGTGGACCTGTCACCTGAAGGCGAGACATAATGATCAAGAGAAGTTCCAGTCTGTCTGGAGCACAGCCAGTTGTTTGATTTTTTTTTCTCCTCCTCCTCCTCCTCTTGTCCCCCTGCTGGCCTGGTTAACCCCGCTTAAATCTTTGCTCGACTTTCGTCCACAGCCGAGACCCGATGTATTACACACTTGTGTGTGTGTGCGTGTGTGTGCGTGACCGCGTGCAGTGTAGAGTTGGACGTTTTGTCGCTACTGTGACTGCTGCTCATGCTGCCTCTGCTCACACTCTATGGATCTTGGATGTAGGGTGGGTGACTCACAGCTGCAGTACACACACACTCTTGAGGAAACATCAAAGACTCCTTCTTTGTGTGTGTGTGTGTGTGTGTGTGTGTGTGTGAAAGAGAGATCTCAGCTAAGCAGTTCCTGTGAGACTCTATAGGTATGGCACTGTGCCTGTACTTATTTTATTCCCTTTTGCTCAGTTGCGCTGATGTGTTGGGCTCCTCGTATCTCACAGTGTTCCTGTGTACAGCACACTGTGGGCTTTGATGCTGCTTGATGCTGTTTTCCTGATGGTAATACCCCTCAGTTTTGATCTTGCTAATCAAAAGGATCCCATTAATAATGAGCAACGGTTGCACCTCTCCAGTTTAAAAAATGTACATAAATTACGATCCCCTGCTTGAAGACGGCGTGTTCACTGGACTGCCGGTGTGAAATGCAGATATTGTCTGTCGTACGTCGACTTTGACGACGGGCTTCGCTGAGTTGGTCCTCGAGGCAAAGTGTCTCTTGAAGGGAAAGAACTCCAATTAAAGTAGAGTCGTGTCGTACTATGATTCAGAGCGTGTTCTTAGTGGAGAACGGTGTCTTCAGCCGTGTTTTCTTAGTACGTGTCTTTGTTTTCTCACTGTCTGTTGGTTAGGGATTACATCATGTGGCTGCCTTAGGATTAGGTAGAGATTAAATGAACATGCTTTATGTAAAATAGTTGCGGTTGTGGTGGACTCTTTGTTGGGCGTATTTGCTTGAAAATGTCAGTTAAAGCTGTACGGGATTTTTTTCCCCCAGTTTTCTCACTATTTGCTAAATTTCAATATTTGCATTCTTAAAACGCAAATTCTCAAAACCCATGACCCATGTGTGTCCTGACATCAAGGGAACAGAGGACATCTCTTTGAAGAGAAAGTAATAAAAAAATAAAAATAAAAACTCAATGGGTGCAGCAGGCTGATCTGCTCTCTCTACACTCTGAGGCTCTCTACCTGCAGATGAATAGGGGGCCCATGCCATAACGAAGGCGTAGAAGACAACATTTTATTGTAGGCTGAGGACACGAGGGGGCGGGGGATGCACCGTTGCTGGTAGACACTGGGTGTGAAGTAGTTCGGCCGTGTTTTACTACAGGTTAGAATCACATGCTCAGAGTAACGTGAAAATAGATATAATTTAGCAGAAGTAGCAGAAAACTGTCAACAAGTTCGAGTGAGAACGTTAATGTATGGGGGTGTAAGTAGGTCAAAGAGCTTTTCTGTAAACACTAGCAAATTGCTCTGTTTAATCCCACTTGAATAAAAATGCTGTCGTAATAAGGACATCAGACAATCACAATGCCACAGATTAGGATTTTCTCTAACCAGATTTATGCGTGAAGGAGTGAAGTCATGGTCAGGAATGTCAATGGCAGAGTTATTCAATTACCACCGCGCCCTTTCGCGGGAAAAGTCTCCAGCCGTGAAGAGGTTAATTGTTTTTGAATCTCTATCCGAGGGGAGAAAATGAGCGAACAGGAGGGATAATTGAGCTGCTGATAGTTGAGTGTGTTATGGATTACTGCTCACATCCACAGGAGAAAACGGGAAGAAGGTGAACGGAAGGAGAAAAATTTAAAAGATGGTAAAAAAAAAGGAAGAAAAAAAAGAAAAAAAAGGGAAGAGAAAAAAGCCCACGTTGTGGGATTCTGCTGCAGGGATTGTCTGGAATACGGGGGGCGCTCCACTCCAATCCTGACCCTTGACCTCTCTTATGCTCCTCCCTGCTCCAGGTGCAAGCCCTCACTGCTGGCAGCTCACTCCCAGACACACACTACAAGCTAATTTTTCACACACTCTGCAAGCACAGGAGGGAAACGCCGTATGACAACTCAGATCCTTTTCACATTTTTACACCCCCCTCCCCTCCACTCCACCGCCTCTTTTTTTTTTCATGCCGTTCTATTGTTAGGAGTCAAAGATCCAAGCCTTCTCTTTGGGATGGGTAGAGGGGGGGCGCTGTTGTGATTATATTGGACCTCGTTTTTTCTCGCCCCTGTGAAACATTTTGTCACAAAGAAAATGGTGGACTGCCTTAAAGCATAGGGAAGAAAATATGATCTGACATGGTGTTATAATCACAGGAGGGATGTCATGTATAATTAGCAGAGTGTTTGATAACACAACAGTGAAACCACCTCAGGCCATTAGCCAAAGTTTCTCAATGCTATTAATGGACGTTAATAAAATTCAAGAAAACCCGAACGGAACGAGCCCACTGCATGGCCCGCTGGTTAGAGCGCTGTAAGGTTAATGAACCAATTTGAATACTTTCTGCTGCCATCTGGGTGGAGCGATGAGGCAGATGCTTTGTTCTCCATACTGTTGCGTTTGTGCTGTTCAACATGGAGGAATTTGCCAGGTCTGTGGAGGTCAATGAGCGCATTTAACATTAAGTCTTTTGTTCAGAGGCAACGTTTCAACATCTTGAAAATGTTTGCTGTCAAAAATTCTTTCAAAATAAGCGTCAACACGAGTCTTTGGGTTCTTTTTTTTTTTTGTACGACACCCCAAGGCGGGGGAATTGGAATGATGTTCAATGAGGTGGTGTCAAATTTGACTATGCCTCTCGGGTCAACAGCATTAGTAATTGTTCCTCATAAAAAGTGGCATTTAAGCGTTTGTGTTTGTGTGTGTGTGTGTGTGTGGGGGGGGGGGGTTAGCGCCGGGCCCCCTCTCCTTCTCGGCCGC